TAATTTTCCCTTTGGGGCCCCGCCCTGGCCCCAGGGGTTGGGGTAGGAATCCCAATTTTACAATTTTGAAGCCTCATCTACCAAGGATGATTCTGACCAAGTTTGAAAAAAATCCATCCACTGGTTCTTGAGAAGAAGTTGAAAATGTAAAAGTTTACGCACGACGCACGACGGACGACGGACGACGACGGACGAAAAGCGATTGGAATAGGTCACTTGAGCAAAGCTCAGGTGACCTAAAAATGGAAAGGTGTTTACCTGAACAGGGTCACTAAGTTTGTGTTTTTTATAACACTACAACATCCAAATGACTTTTCCTTTTTACTCTCCTCAAGTTGCCTCTCTCCGTCACAAGAATCCTCTCCATCTCCTGTAAATAGTATACTACCAATTCTATTATGAGAACTTTCGGTTCTAGATATGTTCAGTTCATGACTTGATTGTGAAATCTGTGCCACATCTGCAACAAAATGTTCACTATTTGTCAACCCATCTACTGGTATATGACACAAAGATAGGCTTTGTCTTCTGTGATCATGTGATAACACATGTTGTAGTTCCTTCCTGAGAATTCCATGGTGCCCAGTCTGAGCCTCTCTCTGAAATAAATAAGTTGCTGCCTCTGATTCACAGTGAAGATCCTCTACTGACATCGCTATTCTTGACTGTAAATAGTCTTCCTCAGATTTGTGTCTATTTCCTGGTTTAGACAGATCTATCGTGTTGACAGTCAGAGCTTCCTCTTCACCATTTATACTCTTTTCATTTGTGTTCTTTCTACGAACAAAAATCACATTTTCACCATTTTGAACAAAAGATCCCAGAGTGATCTTGTCGCCTACCATCATGCCATCTTCGTTAATTCTATGTCATTTTGATCTTTTCTCTTCTTTCTCTTGATTATTTGATCATTTCGCCTGTCCGCTATATTAATATGTCTTTTGATCAACCTCAGAAGTTGACATGCGCAACAAAGGACCAAGGAGAACGTTTACCTACACATCCAATTTGAGAAAAGATTACTCCAGTACTTCCAGAGAAATACTAGCCATCTTGGTTTTCCAATCATCCCCAAAATTGAAAATACATAACAAGGGACAATGGAGAACCTTCATGTGAAATTTGAAAAAGACCCTTCCTGTACATTCTGAGAAATAGCGCTATCCAACTTAAACTCTTAAATTCATGATGGCTGCCTGCCATTTCGTGGCCAGTCCCAAAAAGCAATGTGCATAACTAAGGACCATGGGGAACCTTCATGTGACAGTTGAGAATGATCTCTTCAGCATTTTTTGAGAAATAGCGCCAACAAACTTTAGCTTTCAAAATTAATGTCAGCCATCTTGGTTTTCCAATCATCCCAAAGATTGGATATGCATACCAAGGGACCATAACAAACTTTCATATCAAATTGGAGAAAGATTCCTTTAGTAAGTTTTGAGAAATAGTGCTAACTCACTTTAACTCTCAAATTCAAGATGGCTGCCTGTCGGCCATCTTGATTTTGTGGTTTGTTTGTATTTTAGGTCCTAATAACAGTCATTTAAGGGCGTGCAAGGTTTTTGGTGGTGGGGGAAATCTTGGTAGCCCTTCACCCAAGCACGCGACTGGCCAAATATCATCTCCATGGCCATTTGGGTTATTCAAAAGAAGTTGTTTAAAGTTTTTAACACATTCGACCCCTGTGACCTTGCAAATGGGTGAAGGTCATTTATTTTAACAAACTTTGTAGCCCTTCATCTCAGCATGCTACTGGCCAAATATCATCACCCTGGGCATTTTGGTTATTGAGAAGAAGTTGTTTAAAGTTTTTAACATATTTGACCCCTGTGACATTGAATATGGGTGAAGGTCCTCCATTTGAACAAACTTTGTAGCCCTTCATCTCAGCATGCTGCTGGCCAAATATCATCACCCTAGGCCTTTTGGTTATTCAGAAGAAGTTGTTTAAAGCAAAAAATTGATGCCGGACGCCGCGCCAAGGCATACGCTCACTTGGCCCGGGAACAGGTGGGGACTAATTAACATTGTGTCATAAAACAACAATCTCACTGTATATCAATATTGTAATACATGAATTACATCAAACTTTTTATGCAAAAAATAGGGTAGGCTTGTGAAAGTTATCTTGAGTTCATACTTTTCTGACATTCAATATTATTATCTTACTTACGTAAACTAGGGGTATAGCATATAATCTATTCTACAATAAGTCAGTCATGTGTATTGTGTGCCATCATGAAATGTACTGAGGCAACAGTTAATCACAGTCCCCAAACCCAAAATTTTCCAAGTTGAGGATCAATTAAGCTTAACCATTACTTGCTAATTTTACTTCATGTGAAATGTACTAGGCTTGCCAGGTAAATTTCCATGGACAGTTACATGCTGTGTTATTACATTATATTATATACAGATTTTCAAGCCTCTTGTGGTTTAATACTGCTCTGTAAGTTACACAAATATGTTCACGGGACTACACACTGGCGTATTGCATGTATGTGTATTTATACAAGTATTTGATACACAAATAGTTATGCCAGTGGTCTTAGACGGTTAAGACCAGGGTGAGGATGAGGGCTCTCCTCAGCAAATACACCGCACAGAATTTTTTATCGGAAAGTTCCTCATTCTTCATAACTGTCCTCATTTAGATATATTTCTTCAAATAGGTGGCAATTTTCAAATTTAACATATTTGGATTTTAATATTGGTTGTAACCTAAAATAAAGTTCTGATTCCAGGACATACAATACGAGGCTCGATACCCATAAAGGGAGCCCCATGAACTGTTGCAACCAATGAGGAAAGTGACTAGGTGGGGAGGATATGTGAGGTAGCTTTGGCCTCAACTAGAAGGGAGGTCATCGAGGAACATTTTGAGTTTTTGATGAGAGATCATGTATTCGTAGTGTATCTAAAACAAGAGATCCCAGAGGGATCTTGGCGCCCACCATTGTACCATCTTCATTAGCTCTTTGTCAGTTCGATCTTTTCTCTTCTTTCCTCTAATCTGTTTGATCGAGTCATGCTAACAGTAAATGCACCTTGAGGTAACTTTTGATCTAAACTTAATACTGATGTGTATGAAAGCCAACCTTCAAAGTGAGTTTGTCATTTCACATATTTACTAGTACAGTACTTAATGTGAAAGAAATAGAATCGATCATTGCAATATGAGAAAGATCTGTTTAGTTCTTCTTTTAATCCATTTTGTTTTTATGATCAGTCTCAAAATATAACATGCAAAACGAGAGATCAAGGGGAACCAACATATAAAATTTGAGAAAGATCCCTCTGGTACTTTCACTATCAAAATCCAAGATGCCTGCCTGTCGGCCATGTTGTTTATCCAATCAGTCAATAAAATTGCCCTGCACAGCTAGGACCAAGGGCAACCTACCTATAAAATTTAAGAAAGATCCCTCTAGTTCTTCCGGAGAAATAGTGGTAACAAACCTACACTATCAAAATCATGGCCATGTTGTTTATCCGATCAGTCTCAAAGGTTGCCCTGCACAGCTAAGGACCAGGGGGAACCTACACATAAAATTTTAAAAAGATCCCTCAAGTACTTCTGGAGAAATAGTGATAACAAACTTTCACTATCAAAATCCAAGATGCCTGCCTGTCGGCCATGTTGTTTATCCGATCAGTCTCAAAAAATGCCCTGCACAGCTTTGGACTAAGGGGGAACTAACATATAAAATTTGAGAAAGATTCCTCTGGTACTTCTTGAGAAAGAGCGATAACAAACTTTCAATATCAAAATCCAAGATGGCTGCCTGTCGGCCATGTTGTTTATCTGATCAGTCTCAAAAGTTGCCCTGCACAGCTAAGGACCCGGGGGAACCTACACATAAAATTTTAAAAAGATCCCTCAAGTACTTCTGGAGAAATAGTGATAACAAACTTTCACTATCAAAATCCAAGATCCCTGCCTGTCGGCCATGTTGCTTATCCGATCAGTCTCAAAAAATGCTCTGCACAGCTTTGGACTAAGGGGGAACTAACATATAAAATTTGAGAAAGATCCCTCGGGTACTTCTTGAGAAATACTGATAACAAGAATTGGTTAAGGACGGACGACGGACCACGGACGACGGACCACAGATGCAGGGTGATTTGAATAGCCCACCATCAGATGATGTACGAAAAAGTTATACCTTTTTGTAACTTATTTTGGTATGGGTACTAAGAAACAGACTATAATCCTTCTAACACCATTCTTCACCCAATGTTATTTTAAAAAGTGGCGGAACTGAGGACAACAGAAGCCGCAACATAAGCCCACTGGTCCTTTGGACCAGGTGGACAACAACAACTGTGCCATAACATATGTTCAATAACCCCTTCGGCCCAGGTAAACTAAATATGACATATGTATATAATTCCTATATTTACTTACTGAGAATTGAGTGTCTCTGGGAGCAGGAAGAAATCCAGGATATCAACCAAAATACAAACTATGAAGATAATCATGCTGGGCAGGAGGTAAGGGAACTTTCCAAACACACCATCAGCCGAAAAGGATTGTGGGTAACGCTTCACTGGTGAGGCAAGAAGTCCTGTGACAAAAGAAAATTGAATCTCGAGGTGTTAATTACCCTCACCAATGCACAACATTCAGATTTTCTTCCCATTTAATAAAACCAGAGATCTAAGCAGGATCCTGGCACCCACCATTATAAGATCTTTATATCTCATAGTAAATTTTGATCAATTTTTCTATAATGCTGGGTTTGACAGTTTCCTTTCAAAGTGAGGTCATTAATCGTTATCAATGTTTTTGAGAAATAGTGATAACAAACTTGAAATCTCAATATTACAAGATGACTGTCTGGCGGTCATGTAGTTTTTGCTTATCAGTTCCAAACTGAAGCATGCACAACTTTCATATGAAATTTGAGAAAGATCTGTCAAGTACTTCTTGGGAACAAGAGGCCCAGAGGGCCTGTATCGCTAACCTTGATATTTAAGCTGTCATAGAAAAATATTCTCATTAAATGTTATACTGTATTATAGGGCACTGATATCTTGGGAACCTATAAGTTCAAGAATAATGACAGCAACCTTTTGAACAAAGCACAAGCGAATATAAGCAAACTTTATACGGTGCTATGCACCAACAAATAATGCAGACAAAAAAAGACAAGAATAATTTTTACAACACCTTAAATGGAATTCTAAACTAGCAAAAAGACAAAGATCTAACAGTACTGATGGGAGATTTCAATGCCAAAATAGGAAACAGCAATATAGGGTATGAACAATCAATGGGAATACATGGATATAGGAAACAGCAATATAGAGAATGAACAATCAATGGGAATAAATGGACATAGGAAACAGCAATATAGGGTATGAACAATCAACGGGAATACATGGACATAGGAAACAGCAATATAGGGGATGAACAATCAATGGGAATACATGGACATAGGAAACAGTAATATAGGGTATGAACAATCAATGGGAATACATGGACAGAGGAAACAGCAATATAGGGTATGAACAATCAATGGGAATAAATGGACATAGGAAACAGCAATATAGGGTAGGAACAATCAATGGGAATACATGGACATAGGAAACAGTAATATAGGGTATGAACAATCAATGGGAATACATGGATATAGGAAATAGCAATATAGAGAATGAACAATCAATGGGAATAAATGGACATAGGAAACAGCAATATAGGGTAGGAACAATCAATGGGAATACATGGATATAGGAAACAGCAATATAGGGTATGAACAATTAATGGGAATAAATGGACATAGGAAACAGCAATATAGGGTAGGAACAATCAATGGGAATACATGGACATAGGAAACAGCAATATAGGGGATGAACAATCAATGGGAATACATGGACATAGGAAACAGTAATATAGGGTATGAACAATCAATGGGAATACATTGACATAGGAAACAGCAATATAGGGTATGAACAATCAACGGGAATACATGGACATAGGAAACAGCAATATAGGGTATGAACAATTAATGGGAATAAATGGACATAGGAAACAGCAATATAGGGTAGGAACAATCAATGGGAATACATGGATATAGGAAATAGCAATATAGAGAATGAACAATCAATGGGAATAACTGGACATAGGAAACAGCAATATAGGGTATGAACAATTAATGGGAATAAATGGACATAGGAAACAGCAATATAGGGTAGGAACAATCAATGGGAATACATGGACATAGGAAACAGTAATATAGGGTATGAACAATCAATGGGAATACATGGACATAGTAAACAGCAATATAGGGTATGAACAATCAATGGGAGTACATGGACATAGGAAACAACAATATAGGGTATGAACAATCAATGGGAATACATTGACATAGGAAACAGCAATATAGGGTATGAACAATCAACGGGAATACATGGACATAGGAAACAGCAATATAGGGTATGTACAATCAATGGGAATACATGGATATAGGAAACAACAATATAGGGGATGAACAATCAATGGGAATACATGGATATAGGAAATAGCAATATAGAGAATGAACAATCAATGGGAATAAATGGACATAGGAAACAGCAATATAGGGTAGGAACAATCAATGGGAATACATGGACATAGGAAACAGCAATATAGGGGATGAACAATCAATGGGAATACATGGACATAGGAAACAGTAATATAGGGTATGAACAATCAATGGGAATACATGGACATAGTAAACAGCAATATAGGGTATGAACAATCAATGGGAATACATGGCCATAGGAAACAGCAATATAGGGTATGAACAATTAATGGGAATAAATGGACATAGGAAACAGCAATATAGGGAATGAACAATCAATGGGAATACATGGACTAGGCCAAGTGAATGGAAATGGAGAAATATTTGCCAACAATAGATCTGTTACAGGATGGATGGGTATCACCAGGTCACAGAAAACCAAATTGATCATTTTTGCATCAACAACAAATTGAAGATCACTTCAAGAAGTTTGGGTAAAGAGGGGAGCAGATGCTGCATCAGACCATCACCTCCTGATTGGAAAAGTAAGAATGAAGCTAAGGAAAGTATAGACCATGAAAAACCCATTAAGGGTGAAATACAATGTCAACTTTTTGAGAGAAAAGACAGAGAAAGAACAGTTTAACATCAAACTGTCAAACAAATTCCAGCTGCTAGAAGAACTTGATAACATTGAAGACCAGTGGAGTCAGATAAAAGAGATAATAAACAGCACATGTGAAGAAACTCTCCCATTTATAAATATTCAATTCCCTTTGCCCAAAGATTCTCCAAAATAAGTTTGGTTAAAATCCCTTCAATGGTACAAAAGGAGAAGGATCTTTAATGTTTTCCTCTATTTCCCCTAATGGGCCCCATCCATCTGCCCCAAAGAAGGGGGTCCACACACCTCAGTTTATACAAAACTGATTCTTTTGTCCCTAAGCATGCTTCAGACTGCATTTGGTTTAAATCCCTTCACTTGTATAGTAGGAGAAAATAAATCCTCTATTTCCCCTATTGGGCCCCGCTCTTATGCCCCCAGAGGGGCTACACCCTCCATTTATACAAACTTGAGGCTCCTTTGTCCAAAGATGCTATAGAACAAATTTGGTCAAAATCCTTCTATTGGTTGAGAAGAAGATTTTTAAAGATTTACCTATTTTCCCCCTATTTGGCCACGCCCCTCTGCCCCCCCGGGGGGGGGGGGGTGTGTGTGTGCCATACCCTTCATCTATACAAAACTGAGAACCCTTTGGCCAATGATGCTCCAGACCAAATTTGGTCAAAATCCCTTCGGAGAAGGATCTTTGATGTTTTCCTCTATTTCCCCTAATGGGCCCCACCCATCTGCCCCTAGAAGGGGGCCCACACACCTCAGTTTATACAAAATTGATTCTTTTGTCCCTAATCATGCTTCAGACTGCATTTGGTTTAAATCCCTTCCAATCTGATTAAAATCATCTGTTACATGGCTCTGCCTGAACATCTGAATGTGCCGCGGTCAGGGTCACGTTCAAGTGACCTTTAGATGAACCAATCAGAGGTGCACTGGCAAAAGTTTGCCAGCGAATCGGAATAGCATGGTTTATAGATAAATAGCGAGGGGTATTGAACAGATTAGTTTTCCAAAACAAATATGGGCCAGGTGAGCTAAAAATGGGAAGGTCCTTACCACTATAGAAGAACAGATAGCTAGATGGGCCGAATACTTTAAAGAACTGCTAAATAGACCACCTTCGGATGTTACACCAGTTATCAACAGAGCAGATGAAGACCTCCAAATAAACCTTAACCTACCAACAAAAATAGAAATAAAACAAGCAGTAAAAAAGTTGAAATCAGGCAAGGCAGCAGGTCCAGACAATATTCCACCAGAAGCCCTCAAGGCCAGCCCAGACCTAACAGCTAACCTTTTACATAAGATATTCAGTGATATATGGCAGCACGAAGAAATGCCTCAAGAATGGAACGAGGAACATCTAATCAAATTAACAAAAAAAGGCAACCTAAAAGAATGCAAAAATTACAGCGGAATCACATTACTATCAGTGGCAGCAAAGGTACTAAATAGAATCCTTCTTATACGACTTCTCAAGGCTATAGATGAAAAACTACGAGAACAGCAAGCAGGATTTAGGAAAGACCGATCATGCATAGACCAGATAGCCACACTGCGCATAATAATAGAACGGTCTTTAGAGTGGAACACTTCCTTGCTGATTAACTTTATAGACTTTGAGAAGGCATTTGACAGCTTGGACAGAGAAACCTTTGGAATATCATGGCTCATTAAGGAATACCACAAACATTCATAAACATCATCAGGAACTCCTATAACAACATGAAATACAGAGTTATACATGAAGGCACGCTCAGCGAGAGTTTTGATGTTAAAACTTGAGTAAAACAAGGCTGCCTGCTATCACCGTTTCTTTCCTCTTGGCAATAGACTACATCATGAAAGAAGCAACTGAAGGAAAAGAAATGGAATTCAAAGGACGATGTGGCAACAACTAGAAGACTTGGATTTTGCGGATGATATAGCCCTTATATCCAGTACACAACAACAAATGCAAGAAAAAACATCCCTTCTTTCTTCAACATCTATAAAGCTTGAACTCAAACCAAATGAAGGAAAGACAAAAGTAACGAAGATCAATACTATAAGTAAACAACCAATAAAGATGATAGACACCAACATAGAAGAACTAGAGGAAGCATTGTTAATATAGAAGGTGGCACAGACGCTGATGTTAAATCAAGAATCAACAAAGCCAGAGTCATCTCTAACATTCTAGGGAAAGTATGGAGTGCCAAGAACATCTCAAGAAGCACAAAAATGAAAATATTCAACTCAAATGTAAAATCTGTACTCTTGTATGGAGCAGAAACATGGAGAACAACTAAAACAATGTTGTCAAGATTCCAAAGGTTCATCAACTACTGCCTGAGGAGAATCATGAACATATGTGGTTTGACAAAGTAAGAAATGAAGACCTATGGAAAAGAGCTGACCAAGAAGAAAATGGGTATGGATAGGCCACATACTGCGAAAACCAACAAGCAGCATTACAAGGCAGGCACTAAAATGGAACCCTCAGGGAAAAAGAAACAGAGGAAGACTAAGAAACACCTGGCGCAGGGACATAGAATTTGACATGAAGCAACAGGGCTACAACTGGAACACTTTAGAAAAACTGGCGCTAAATCGAGTTAGATGGAGGGAGTTCGTCAATGGCCTATGCTCCCCAGAGGAACTAAGGGCCTAAGTAAGTAAGTAAATATTATACTGTACTACCAATATTTCAATCACAAACTTTGTCAGCTTTCGATTATTCAGGAGTCGTTTGAAGGTTTTGATATATTGACCCTTGTGACAATAAATGAAGGTGAAGGTAATTTTCACTCGCAAACTTTGTCTGACTCCACCCCAAGAAGCTAACAACCAAATATTAAGATTCTATACCTTTCAGTTATTCAGAAGAAGTGGTTTGAAGTGTTTGACATATATGACCCATGTGACCTTGACAGAAAGTCAAGGTCATTTTCATTCTCAAACTTTGCTGGGCTCTCTCCCCGGAAGCCGCCACCAGCTACAAATTATGGTTATATACCTTTCAGTTCATAAATCACATCTACAAAAGATAACCTTTTACCTTCTTTTCTCTCCATTTACCTTACAGAGAAATTATTGCCCCTTCCTAAATGGGAATCTTGTACACTAGCTTAAATCTCATAATGTCATGTTTATTGCCAATATGACAAATGTTATTCTCATGAGTGCCTGTGGTATTTTTAACAGGGGGAACATACATATAAAATAGCGATAACAAAATTGAACTGTCAAAATTTAATATGGTTGTCTGGTGGCCATTTGGTTTTCCTATCAGTCCAAAAAATTCCATATGTATAACAAGGGGCCATGGGGAACCTACACGTGAAATTTGAGAAATTCCCTCCTGAACTTTCTGAGAAATAATGCTAACATTAATACTATAACTTTAAATATTCCAGATGGCTGCTTGATGGCCATCTTTGTTTTCTGATCAGTCTTAATATTCGATACGAGTAACTAGCTAGGGACCAAGTGGAACCTTCATGTCAAATTTGAGAAAGATCCTTCCAGTACTTTCTGATAAATAGCGCTAATAAATTTTAACTCTAAATATTCAAGATAGTCGTCTACCTTCCATCTTAGTTTCTGATAATTTCCAAAATTTGATATGCATAACTAGGAACCATGAGAAACCTATGTGTAAAATTTGAAAAAGATAACTTTAAAGCACTTTCTGAGAAATAGCGCTAACAATTGTTTAAAGACTGACAGACGGACAGATGGACAGACAGAATGACAGACAGAGGACATGCCATAGTGAAAAGGTGATTTGAATAAACAATCTTAAGGAGAAAAGTCCAGATATATGTTACTTATTTTTTGGGGGCCCCGGACCCTTCTCTCAGTTACCCGTGTCAAGTACTCTTATAAAATCAAATACATTATAAATGATGAAATACAACCAGTTTATACTTACCTCCAGCAGTGGGACCTAGGACAATCCCTGCCCCCCAGGCCACAGATATAATTGACATCCCAAGGGCTTGGTTTGTGTTGTCACATATCTCATACAGAACTGTCTTAGCTGTTCCTACAGTACCTACAAAGTAACACATACAAGATTAATACTGTTCCTACAGTATCTACAAAGTAATGTTTATACAAGTTTAATACTGTTCCTACACTACCTACAAAGTAATACATACAACTTTAATACTGTTCCTACAGTATCTACAAAGTAATGTTTATACAAGTTTAATACTGTTCC